TTGAACCCAAACTCTCGGCCCACCAGATACTGGTGATCCCATAAACAGATTCTAAAGACCATTCAGGGTGATGCCATACAGTTCTTAGGGCTATCATTCTGGGAGTTTGTGGGGTGAGGTTTGTAGGTTCCCTGGAACAAAGAAGTTCTCTACACCACCTTGGATAAATGACTTCAGTCCCAGGAGGAAGGGTGGTGCATTTCCACATTGGAAAATCTTACCTTGTTTTCTCTTGCACAAAAGGAACAAAAGCACTGAAGGTAGGATGAGTATAAACAGAAAAAGCACAGCCAGTCCACTCAGCCACCCCGCGAGGTGAGTATGGAGGCCCATTGTGATATCTGGAAATGGAAGATGCAGTGAGATGATCAGGAAATAGGTGCAAGATGCTGCATGGGATTGTCCACATTCAAGGGGCACTATCAAAATTGGATGCCCTCCAGGGGAGTGCCAAATCTTCGAGGGAAAGCTAGTAAAAGCCAGGATTAGAAATGGAATGAGGGAACCAAGTGGGGGCTACCTCAGAACACACTGAAATGCCTGGCGTATCTCAGAAGGCTTTGGACTTGTTTCCAGGACTTTCTGGGAGAAGCCCATGGGGACCAGGCCTGGCATAAGGGAGGCATATCGCCCTGGAGGACGAGGCCCATATTCAGGCCTTACAGCTCTTTAGAGTGGTTTGTGGAACTCTAGGAGAGGTGGACAGAGCTGGTTACCTGAACAGAGCTGCCGGGCAGAGATGGAGTCAGAATTGTTGCTGACAGGGTTCTGGGCTGTACAGGTGTAAGTCAGCTCTTGGTTTTCAGGAGTCTGGAAGATTTGAAGGATACTACCCTCTTTCCCCAGGGGACTCCAACTGTATAGCACATTCATTTCTTCTTTCTCCACAGAGCATGTCAGTGTGACATTACAAGTCCTGTTTACAAATGTCATTAAACTCTGAGTAATTGTTGGCTTCCCAAGCCTTCCTATGAGAGAAAAACACATTAGCCAGTGGTAAGCTGCAGTTGACCTATACCAGTTTGTGAGAGACAACTGTTAAACTTTCAAGATGTTTGTTAAATACAGACATCATTAAAAATCAAAGTATACAAACTTACAATAAAGGAAATCATATATTAAAAACAAAGCTAATAAATACTCAAAACATCACTTTTTTTTTTTTTACAATTTACTATTATCTATGCTCTAGAAGTTATTTTTATCTGTGTTTCTGTCCTTTGGAATGATGATGTACAAAGTCTTTTCAACTTTGCACATCTCTCTCTCTCTCTCTCTCTCTTGTTTTTGTCTACTTGCTTAGTGCCATGGAATTAGCACTGATGTGGAAATCAGAAGATCTGGAGCCTAGTCTAGACCAGTTCTTTCACCTCCAAGGTTTGTGATTTGTCTCCAGAAAATAGTTGAACTAGATTATGCAGACAAACTCTTTTAGTGAGAAAAAACAATTTAATTCAACTAACATTTATTCTCTGCCTGAGTCATGTCTGGATTGTTTGAAGGAAAACTTCTTTTTCAACTTTGCCATGTCTTAAAATTAGCCATTTTTTACAACATGGATAAATCTTGAAGGTATAATGCTAAGTGAAATAAGTTAGATGGAAAAAGACAAAAACCATATGACTTCACTCATATGTGGACTATAAAACAAAAAGTAACAAATGAACTATCAAAACAAAACAAAAATAAACTCATAGACACAGACAAAAAAAAATGGAGATTACCAGAAGGGAAGCGAGGTAGGGAGAGGGTAAAGGGATTCAAATGCATAATGAAAGGAAACTAGAGTTTGGGAGGTGAGCATGCAATAATGTATATAGATATTGTATTATAAAGATGTACACCTGAAATTTTTATAATGTTATTAACCAATGTCACCTCAATAAATTTANCCCCCTCTCTTTCAGTCACTTGCCCCCTTTTTTTCCTTCTCTCTCCTTCCCTCTCCTGATCACCGAGGAAGAAAAGATCCTGTCTCTTTCTCCAGGACACTTGGCTTATCTTTACATTCAAACTGTCCTGTGCATTAATCTCCTTTGCAACCTCCCTGCTTGTCCAACTCATTTGTGGATTCATTTGCATTCATTTCAAGTTCCTAATATATGTTCTCACTATTCATTTGTTATCATTATTTTCCCATTCTTACAGACTCTTGGGTTCAAATTTATCTTTCATGATTAGTTTCCTGCCTATTAGCTCAGCTGTTAAATAGGAGCACTTGCAAAACATTTGATTTGTCAAGAGACCCCAAAGCTATCCTTCTGACTGTAGCAGAAATGAGGATACTCAGACAGTGACAACCAGTCACCAGATCGCCCACACTGAAAATCCTGTTAAAAGGATAGGGCTTAGAGCCCCTCTGCACTTTCCAGAGAAGGACAGTGAAGCACAGGGATGTGTGAGTGTCATTAGGCTACTACAAATGTTTGTGCAGGCTGCATACCATAAAGATCAGATGAGGGAGCAAACAGGAGCTGAAATTAAGCCTGTGTTCTACTTGCCAGTCTGTGCACCTGGTGTGGGCCTATCTCCGCCCACAGGGAGACACCTATTTTCTTATTGTCACACTGTGAGCTAACAGTGGCCCTGGATGTTGTGGAGGCTGGAGTTTCCACACTGCAATTCAAGGGCTTAGGGGCTCGTGCACTTTCAGGGTGGGATGAGCACCTCAAGCAGGTCAGCCTGTGGGTGGCCATAGACCTGGGGAGCAGGGCTCTGTGCATGTGTGGAAGTACCTATAGACCTAAGCCTTCAGCAGTTAGTCCTGAGAAGTCTAGCAAGACGTCCCAAGGGAACCAGCTGATCCTTCCTTAGAAGAATAGGGTAAAGCAGAATGGCTGGTACAGACAGGACTACAGGGATAAAAAGTCAGAAAATATTTACCTTATCAGAGTACTGCACTACGGAATAAGTGCTGTTTCCTAGCATCTGCTTGGTAGGGAGCACCTGTAAAACATCCATCTTCCCCTCAGTGAGTCAGCCCAGGCAAAATGTTATGAGTCCCCTTTCTTACTTCTGCCTCTTCCCATCAACCCTCCCTGGTCCCATTTTCACTAGGTGGCTTTCTCTCCAGGCCTCAGGTCTGCTTCCATCCAGCTTTGGAGAGAATCAGGGTCAGGTGGGAATGGGAGTAGGGTGGGAGAGTGGGTAGCATTTGAGCAAAAACCTCAGGAACCAAGAGGAGGGGTCTGCGTGGTTGAGACTGAGTCTTGCTCAGTCAGGGGTTTCGCTTTACGTGGGCCCTATAGACCTAGCTGCCCTATCAGTTCAAGCACAATGTTAGATTCACCAGGCAGACCTCAATTTTTCCCTCCTCACTCCTTGTAGACTTCAGGGGAGCAGGCTGGTAAAGACACAGAGGAAGGTGATACCATGTAGAATCCTGATCCAGGGTGGAAGAGAGAGGGGCAGGAAGGTGAAAGGCAGGTGAGGGGAAAGGGTGTAGTATAGAGTGACTCTGAGACTGAGGAAAGTAAGCGGCTGCTCCAGCCAGACCAGGAAGTTGTGTTCAAGAACACCTCTCTCAGTTCTGTGCCCTTGGAACTAGCTGCCTTAGCAACCTGTTTATGCTTCAGTGGGCACAGAACAGCCCTCGTCTCATACCAGGGGCTTCCTCGTTTGTCCCTGTAGAGGACACTTCACTCTTAGCCATGACTCTCATCTAACTCTGAGTCAGGCCCCCATGTGAAAGCTTTGGATCTCAACCCTGGAGGCTGCCATGGGGTGACAGTTGGCCATATTACTGTCTTCATAGAGAGGATCATTGCATC